CCTCCTCCTCCTCCAACCCCTCCTTCTCTTCCTCCTCCTCCTCCTCCTCCTCCTCCAACCCCTCCTCCTCTTCCTCCTCCTCCTCCTCCTCCTCCAACCCCTCCTCCTCTTCCTCCTCCTCCTCCTCCTCCTCCTCCTCCTCCTCCTCCTCCTCCTCCTCCTCCTCCCCCCCTCCTTCTCCTCCTCCTCCTCCCATGGCGATGTCAGTCCCGTGATGTTTTGAAGTGCGGACAGGTACATTACTACAGGGTGACGAATGGGGGAAAAATATCGTCACGAAGGCCACCAAAGTGCATCCTCGATGGCCCCACCTACAACATACCGTGACCACCAGTATGCTCTACCCCACACACACACACACACTTCGAGGGGGGACAGTGGGATACTTCAACAGGGTATCAGAGCACAGATACGACAATGCATGGGACAACTATCGGCCAGTTCGAGGTGGAAAAGAAGTGCGCCGAGCGAGAGAGGAGAGAATAGGATATAACAAAATCCGTAGGGTAAGCAGACCCCCAGCAAAAGGATGGGAAGCGCGGGCCTCCCGACCCTCCCCCCTCCTCCTTTTGGAGTTGTCGTGTCGTCGTCTCCTCCCCCCTAGCTTGGGCGCACTGCTAAGCCCGCGCGTCCCCACCCCTCGGGCACGCGGAAGGGCCAGCAGCTGCTCCCCCCGCATTGACCCACAGGGACTCGTAATCGTAAGGTAGCGAGCCTTTCTTACGGGGCCACCTCGGAGCTCATTCCTTGAGCAACGGGGTATGAACCCCCCAGGGCCGTTGCACAACCAATCGCAGGGGATATTGCCAGAAGCGCGCAAGGCACCAGCGTAGGTGTTTTGACGTTGAACCCCCTTATGCGGAGGTCCTGTCCTGTCCTGTCCTCCTCCTCCTCCTCCTCCTCCTCCTCCTCCTCCTCCTCCTCCTCCTCCTCCTCCTCCTCCAGTCCTTCTCCTTCTGAATACCTCCTCCCTGTCGCACCCCCGTTCCCCTCCTCCTCCGCCCGCATGGGGCGAAGTCCCCACAGCGCAGTTGCGTTTTTGTTGCGGCGGTGTCCGCCTGCACCTCGGGAGCTTGAGGTCCGTACCGACGCAGAGCTGGAGATCGTCACCGACGCGGCCCCGCCCGCAAGGGTGCCACGCCTCACGGCACAACCGCGATTGCGCGACGGTGTCCGCCTGCACCGCGAGAGCTCGAGATCCGCACCGACGCAGTCCCGCCAGCAGGGGGGACGCATGCCCCACAGCACAGGCGCGCTTCCTCGACGGCGCCCGCCTGCACCTCGACAGCTCGAGATTAGCACCGACGCAGTCCCGGAGGGCGCGGCGTTGGAACAAATTGCAAGGAAACTGCTCGCGAGAGCACGACTCCTTAAATGAGGCAGCCCCGCACGAGAGCACGAGTCTCAAATACATTGTGAGTGAATAGCAGGCGGGAGCCGTTGTTGTTGTTGTTGGTGTTGGTGTTGTTGTTGTTGGTGGTGGTGTTGTCGTTGTAAGTCGGGGACCAGGTGCCCAATCTGAGCCACAAGACTTCCCTTATAAAGACAGAGTGCGAGCCCCGGGAGGAACACTTTAATTGAAAAACATGTTGGGCACGGGGGGGGCATCAACAATAATTATTCTGTCGACATGAGAACTCAACATCCTCATTATCATCGGCATCGTTCGCCACCGTGCCCTTGGGCACAATGTGGGCGTGTCCTCAGCTCCTTTGCCGAACCCTCTGAGCCTCATTGCTCACTCCTGAGGATTCTTTCCGCGACCCGAACCCCTCCCCTTCAAATCTCTCGGGGTTTCTCGCGTCTTGTCGCGTCTTTTCGCGTGACTTCTTCGGGGCCAAGAGGGCCTCAAGACGGGCAAAGAGGGCCCCAAGAAGCCCCCTAAACGGACCAGGAGGGCCCCGAGTATCCGAAAGATCCTTCCAAGACACCCTAGATGGCCTCAAGATGGTCCAAGAGGCCTCCAGGACGACCCAAGAGGCCTCCAAGATGCCTCCCAAGAGGGCCCCAAGAGGCAAAAAAAATTGATGTTCTGAAGGAGCACGAACCGAAAATCCGAGCCTTCCGCCCCAAGACGCCCCCAGGAGGCCCCAAGAGTCGCCCAAGAGCCCCCAAGAGGCCCCCCCGAGGCCGCAAGAGGCGCCCCAGAGGCCCAGAAGAGGCCCAACAGAGGCCCAAAAACGACCCCCAAGAGGCCTCAAAACTGCCTCCAAGAGGCCTCCCACGAGATCCCAACGAACATCCAAAAGGCTTCATAACAAGAGCCCAGGCATGCATGGTGGCGGGATGGGCCGAAGGCAATTAGATACATCATCCTCCGAATCCTCATAGCATCATTGATATTATTATTACCATCAGCATCAACATCAGCATCATCAGCAGCATCATCATCATCATCAGCATCATCAGCTGCAGCAACATCAACAACAGCATCATCCGCATCATCATCATCATCATCATCATCATCATCATCATCATCATCATCAGCAGCAGCATCATCATCATCATCATCATCATCATCATCATCATCATCATAATCATCATCATCAGCATCATCATCATCATCATCACCATCATCATCGTCATCGTCATCGTCATCGTCATCGTCATCATCATTATCATCAACAACATCGACATCATCGTCGTCATCATCATTAGTAGCAGCAGCATTGAAATCATCATCATCATCATCATCATCATCATCATCAGCATCATTGACATCATCGCCATCGTCATCATCATCAGCAGCATTAGAATCAGCTTCATCCTCATCATCAGCAGCATCAGCATGAGCATGATCATCATCATCATCCGAACCAGCATCATCAGCATCATCAGCAGCAGCATCAGCATCAGCATCATCATCACCACCACCATCAGCATCATCATCACCAACATCAACTTCATTACTAACATCGACAGCAACAGCATCGTCCCCATCATCGGCAACAACAGCAACATCCTCATCATCACCATCATCATCACCATCATCGTCATCATTATCATCATCAGCAGCACCATCACGATCACCACCATCATCAGAATCCGAATCATGATCCTCAACTCACCATTGTCATCATCATACTCATCATCACCATCATCATCATCATCATCATCATCGGCATCGTCATCATCGCCGTCGCCATCAGCAGCAGCACATGCATCATGTTTAGCACCATATTCGACAGCACCGTCTTCATCTTGATCATAATCACCATCAACGTCACCATCATCATCATCATCATCATCATCATCATCATCATCATCATCATCTCGTCGTTGACATCAGCACCGTCATCATCATCGTCATTATCAGCATCAGCATGATCCTCATCATCATCATCATCATCATCATCATCATGAGCAGCATCATCAGCATCATCATCGGCATCATCATCATCGCCACTGTCACCATCAACATCGACATAAACATCATCAAAAGCATCAGCAGCAGCATCATTATCGTTATTAACAACATCGTCAATAACATCAATTTCAACATCAGAGTCATCAACATCATCAAAAACTAACATCATCAGCATCGTCCTTATCCTCATCATCGTCAACATTATTATCATTAGCCAGAGCAAAAACAGCATCATAATCAGAATCAGCATCAGCATCATCACCATCATCAGCATCGTGATCATCGGCGCCATCGTCACCATCGTCATCGTCGTCAATGTAAGCAGCATCATCAGCATCATCGTCATCGTCATCGTCGACATCGTCGTCATCACAATCATGAGCATGATCATCATCAATATCATCACGACCATAAGCAGCAGCATCATCATCGCCATCAACATGATAATCAGCAGCATCATCGTCATCAGCATCATCACCCGATCGTCATCATCAGCATCATCACTACAAGCATCATCATCAGCATCATCATACTCATCATCAGCATCATCACCATCATCATCGTCATCATCATCATGATCATCATTATCATCATCACCATCATCGTCATCATCGTCATGGTCATCGTCAGTGCCATCATCATCAGCAGCAGCAGCAACAGCATCAGCATCATCATCATCATCATCAGCAGCAGCATCAGCATCATCATCATCATCATCGTCATCATCATCGACATCATCGGCGACGATCCCTGGCGGTGACGACCCCGGCGCGCCGCGGCCACGGACGCAGCCGTGGCGCCGCCGTGCGCAGCAGCTCGAGGGTCCGCCCCGGCCCAGCCGCACAGCAGCCGCACGGCACTCGCGCGGCCGCGCCAGGCCGCCACGTGCAGCGCCGTCTGGCCGTACTCGTTCGCCTCCGCGGCGCCCGCGGCGCCCGCGACCGCGGCGGCGCCCGCGGCGGGCACGGGGGGAGGCGGCGACGGGGCCCGCGGCGGCGGCCGCGGCGGCAGCGGCCGCGCCGCGGCGGCGGCCGCGGTGGCAGCGGCCGCGCTGCGGCGGCGGCCGTGGCGGCCTCGTTCTCCGCCGCCCCGGCGGCTGCCCCCCCCCCCCCCCCGGGTGGGCGCGGAGGTCGGCGGATCGAGGCTCCAGGCCCGCGGCTCTGTCTCCGCGCGTCCGTGGGCGCGCGGGGAGGCTGGGCTTCTCCTCACCGCGGACGAGCTCCCCTCGTCCCCTCGTCGAAGGCTTCGCCAGAGCACACCCCTGGGGAGGTCCTGGGGGCAGGTCTTCTTGAGCAGGTGGGCTCGCCTCCGCAGGAGGGCCGCCCGACTGGGGAGACCGCGAGCAATCGACGGCGGCGGAAGCCGCGGAGGCGACAGCGGGCAGCGCTCGGGCGCCTCCCCGGCGGAGGCGCCCGAGCGGGGGCGCGGCGAGCGGCCAGGGTCTTTCGGCATATCTGGCCTCCCTCCTCGTGCCCTTCCCTCAGCGCTCTTCCTGCTCATCCTCCCCCCATCCCTCCAGCGCACCCAAGAGCCCATGCGAAGCGCCCCAACAGATCCCAAGAGGCTCCAAGAAGACCCAATACACACCCTCAAGACATTCTCCAGGTTGCCCTCGAGAAGCCGAAACAATGTT